CTTCGTTTCATCTGTTTTGTTTGAAATGCTCTAGATGTAAAGCACTTTGAGCTGCATTGTGTAATAAAAGGGCTATACAAATAAATAAAAATGTATTATTATTATTATTATTATTATTATTATATTATATTATTATTTTATTATTATTATTATATTATTATCATCATTATCATTATCATATTAATATGTTGTTTAAGGACACTTGACATCTGACCTATTTTGTTGTTTAGGTACGAGGATGTGTCGTCCTTAACATTTGTGTGGACTCCACATATGAATTGGGCTTCACAGTGAATTGTCTGACCAGTGTAAAAATGTAAATAGATTAAAAAATGCTGATTTTAAACACAGATTCATGAGTACAATATTTTGCAATCTGTGTGTTTATGTTAATCTTACATTAATTGTGTTTTTTATATCTTTATACAGAATACTGAACTCACATTCATCGGGTGGACAGAAAAACAACTCGGGGTGACTGTGTTGCTCTGCTTCTGCTGGATGTGTAAATGGACAACTGTTTGCACACATCAGAAGTTGTAAAAAATAAATGCTTTTAAGACAATACAGACAAACAGTTCAGGCACAAAAGTCAACTGTGTTTATTCCAAACTAACGAAATTACAAGAACTCAAGATTAGAAACAGTTATCTCTTGACAGCCCTCATATATATAGGATATTTATGACAGGCATTACACACTACTGTAAATATGTTTGTATTTAGTGTCCCTGCTTATACCTATGTTTATATTACATATTGTGCATAGCCTATAGCTACGTGTTTCTACGTCACCATGATAACTAAATACCTAAAATAAGTAAGTATTACTTATTATCAGTATTTTCAGTATTCAGTATAACTAAGATACTTTATTTACTTATTTTGCTCTAATCTTTTTTCATTTAAATACCTCTTTATTGGACGTTTTACCTCTTAACCCCTCACTTGTGCTGCTAGAACATGTGAATTTCTCTTCTCTGGAATTAATACAGTATCTTATCTTATTCTATTCATCCTTATTAATAACTACTTAATAATATCAGTAACATTGCTGGTCACATTTACTCAGAATGGGTATCTGTATTTTTATTACCAAACTGGTGGCTGTTAGACGTTCTTCCCCTTTTATAAATTATTTATATAATCAGAATGGGCTCAATTGAAAGACATGATAATGTTACAATATGAGCAGCACGGAACAGATGAATACCCAATAAAATGGGGGGGAAAAAAAATACAATTAGTCAGTGTATTATTTTATTGTAATATCTTTTTATATTGTATTGAAATATATTTTTTAATTGTATTTAAATGTCTTTTATATTATATTAATATACATATACTTAATGTGCGGCTCCAGAGACTCAATGATGTGCTGCACACTTGTTCAGCAAACATATGTGTTAGGTTTGGCCCCCTTTTCGTTAACATGCTGTGAGCAGGGTTTTGTCCATTAATCTCTGGATCCAGAGCAAGAGCAAGACCTCCACCACTGGACTGCTCAGATACACTGAAGGGAAGGCTTTCAAGTTTCTTTGTCAATCATGTTATTCTGACAATAAAAATGGCTCCTAAGCACCAATAGAAGGCATGTTTAGCTTATAAACATGTTTTTTGTGATGGCTACTCTGCTGTTGAAGAATAAAATAAATGAGCAGCCAAAGAATTGTGCTGTGAAAGACTTAATATCATGTTAACAATGATTGCATTTAAAAACACTAACAACATAGAATTTTGAAAGTAACCACTGAAAGTCAGTAAGGACTCCACATTTTGTTAGCATCAACAACAAACAGCTCTGTAAATTTGCAAGCTTAATATTAATGTATCGTAACTCAAATCAATGTCAGGCATATTAAGTAGTACTCTGAGGACTGTTCTTTATATATTTATCAATGCAGCTGTTCTTATCAAATGAAACAGGCACTTCACTCCTGGTTTCAATAGTAAATGACAATTACCAACAAAGAAACACTATATTCTAAGCAGACACGTTTAACAAAACATAAATCACAAAGTAACTTTAGTGTTTCAAACAAATAGGAGACATAGGAGCAAATTTTAACAAAACTTTCTTCACTGCCATGCATCATGGGAATTCTGAGGCACGGGGTGATATAGAGCAGCCGAAGTCCATCCCTCTATATTTAGTTTGTTACCATTAAGTTCAAACACCATAGGCTACAGGTGTTTAAAGTTGAAACCAGTTAACACTGGTGCCAGCTGCAGGATCCGAATCCACAATTGGGATGGAGGTGCGGCTCAGGAGACTGAGTAACTAACTGCATCACCAGCCAGCCTGGTTGTAATGATACAATTTGATGTGTTGTTGATACAAAAGTGTATAGGCATAATAAAAAAGCTTTACAGCTATCATTTGGACTTTTTAGTTAGTGCTTGAGTAGCTGAGCATAAAAATATACCTCTTGTTTCCAAACTGCAAACAGGGAGGAAGATACAGCAAGTTAAAGAATATAATAATACAATGAAAGGGGGAGACCTCAGCCTGCAGCTACAACAGGGACTGAATGGGAGAGACTTTCCAATCAGTTAAGGATCAGAGAAAAAAAACTAAACGTCCACTGAGCAGGAATTTGACATTTTGAGGGAGAAAAGGCATGTGGCTACATTTTGGTGCCTTTTTTGTGCTTATAGAGATAAATATACGCGACTAGCAGCAGTTTACAAAATAATTTCTGGTCTGCAAAATCCTCCTGTCTCCACTCTAACTGATCACATGACACGCTGGTAAAGTCTGCTAAAAGCTGTAAAACCCTTCACTTTGGAAGGGCACTAAACATTTTTTTTAGCAAACACCAAATACAACTTTGAAAGATCAACATCTTTTCTGCAACTTTCAGCTGAAATTGAGTCTCTAGCACATATGCCGGAGCACTAAGCTCTTAAATTTGGAAGAGTGGAGTCCCTGCTCCCATAGGAATCTCATTTTAAAATGCATAAAATATTAATATAAAATCAACCATTACAGATACCAGCAACACAGTTAATAGCACCCATCTCATGAAGTAGATGTACAATTTGAAGTTGGAACCAAGTTTGTTGGAAACGGTACAGGACTAGTTAGATGCCAAAAAAACAGCGGAATAAATAAATAATATAATAAAATAATAATAATAATAATAATATAATATAATAATATAAATAATAAAGAGCGAAGAGAACAAAAGTGTTGTGATATTAGTGGTTATTAGTGTCAGAGCTCACACTAATAAACTTGTCTTGCCTTGTTTATGTGTACGGCAAACGCCCATTTCCACAAGACTACATTACCCATGATTCCTATCCTCTGGTATTTCCTATTAGGTATTGCTGACAGCCATATTTGATTCGATTATGCTGTTCTGGCTGCGACAACCAGTTTAGCCTGACAAGAAAAAAAAGGTCTTTTTCCTCTCTACGAGCTCAGCTTTACGGTTAACTAGCGACGAAATCCAGCTGCATTCACAGTAACAACAGTTTATAACCTGTAGTCAACGATGAATCCTGAATAGTAAGTTGGACTTTTGATGTTCGGTTGGTTATGACAGGTCCGGTTGAGCTGTCAGCGTAGCCGGGGAAGCTAAGCTAACAGTAGCTAACTAGCTAGCCAGGCGGACCGGTGTACAAAATGAACGTCAGCTGCTTTGTCTTCTCTGCTAACTTCGCTATCTGAGGGCTGTTGTGGGTTATGTACGTGCTCTCTAACGACAGCGTTGATGTTTATCTCAAAACATACATTTTTCAACATCTCCTAGTCAATATAACACCGATTAAATTGATTATTTGTTGTTTCGTCAACAACGTCTGTTTTAAGTAGCATTAGGAAGCTAACGTTAGTAGCAGGCTAGCCGAACAGCTACGTAGCGTTAACCTGACGCTGTTGAGGATTTTGTTATTGAGATTAGTTGCTCAGTTAGATGCATAAGGACAGTTTAATAGTTCAGGGCACAAATCCGTGTCAGTAAGCACGAAGCTAATCTTTTAATTAATCTGGGTAGATATTATTTTGCTGGTAATTTTAGTGTAATTTATCCACCGCAAACAGGAAGTTACAAAATTTGCTCCTGGAAAGGAGTTAGGTAATGTCAGAGTCTCTGTGTTACTACACTACAGGGCTGTGCAGTAATACACAAATAATGATAGTTATTGCGATATAATTATCCTCAGTAACAATAATAAATGTTTGCTCATGATCATTTAAATCACGAACGAATTGGCACGTAATTAGTCTTATTGGGACATGTATTCTGTTGAGGAAAGGGGTCTGAAAAAGGATTTTACTTACTCGTGCATTTTTTTGTTGAAAACCGATTTTAGCACAACTGTTTTGAATGTTCTGCCTCAGAATTGTGAAGTGATCCACTGTTTGGCATCAAGTGTTTGTTCTCACCATAAAGAAAAGTTTAAAACCATAATTAACCCTCTGGATTCTTCATCTTTAAACCTGAAAGAAATAATAAGTTGATTTATCCTGATAATTATGTAGAGCTGGGCAATAATGACACACAACAATAATGAATTATTAAAAATTATTTATATATTTGAGAAACTGAACCAGGGAATTTGGTGTTGGTGCTTGATAAATAAGCTAAGTGATTAATCTTCTTTATCAAATGTTTGAACATAACATTATTTAGCTTGTCTTATATGTTAAATATACAGTTATTAGTGGCAACTATTAAGTGTTTATTGACAGTTGTGTATTGTTTGCTTTATTAAGGTACCTTTAAACTCTGTACCAAAAAAAGACATAGCAATGTTTTTATTTAAATAATTACACAGCATAAGCACATTTTTGTTTTCCTTTTACAAAATAATATAGTCCAATAATTAACAGCTGTACAAAATGTATTATTTAAATGAGACTGTATCTGATCAAAGAAACCGCTTTAAGAATCTGAAAACTCTCAGTGTCAACATTAATTCACTAATATAGCGCTTGTCAAAAACACTGAGTCTAATGTGATTTAGCGCCTTGCAGGTGATAATTGTGTGTTCATGTTTTCCCTCCCCCTCTCTCCTCGTGACCTATTTATTCAACTCCTCCTTATCGGTGACTCTGGTGTTGGAAAGTCTTGTCTCCTTCTCCGGTTTGCAGTAGTAAGTGTCTCTTTTTCCAGCCACAGTTACACAGCAGGCTTTTATGTTTCTTCCCTGACATCACAGTGATGGTTAATAAACCTACAGGTATCGTATCTACCACCCTGACCCACCTGTGTGTTTGTTTTAACCCAGGATGACACGTACACAGAGAGCTACATTAGTACCATCGGCGTGGACTTCAAGATCAGGACCATCGAGCTGGACGGAAAGACCATAAAACTTCAGATTGTAAGGAGAACGGGGTGTAACATGGCTGAAAATAGATAAGTACTGAGACACCTTGGATTGTGATTGTGTCAGTTTGGACTTGACGAGCTCTGCTTTCTCTTCTCAGTGGGACACGGCCGGCCAGGAACGGTTCCGGACCATCACATCCAGTTACTACAGAGGAGCTCACGGCATTATAGTAGTTTATGATGTGACAGATCAGGTCAGTGCCTCTTGAGGACAAATAACACTTGTTCTAAAGGCTTCTCTCACGACAGATATCCCCTCAGATGTCCAAAGTGCAACATCCAGTCACACAGTCATGCGTTAATATTTTAATTTGTTTAGTAAAACAAGGTAGCACTTTTATTTATGGAAAATTAAGTTTACAGCAGCACAAGAAAGGGTATTAGGCAGAGGCTATTAAAGTGGAGGCGGACCTCCCAGGGATGCTCCAAACAGTGTCGGGGTGGGCTAAACCGTGATATTTGCTTCTGTGTCGAGTCTACGCACGTAGCCATGCATTTATACTTGTGCGTTGGTGTCTCGTTCTGCAATTACACCGCCAAAACGCTAGTTGGCGGTAGCATTATAACGTCTTGCCGGCCAAGCCAGCTAATTTCCAGTTTAGGCTGCGGTTCCTATAGTCTTTTCAAATGTTATCGACTGAATGCGTCAAATTACAGGAAGCCGATTGTCTACTCTGCAGTTGCTTAAGAAAGTACTATTACAGACGAACAAAGAGCAGCAAACGTGAAGAACCTCTGCAGAGATTTCTCTGCATGGACCGACAATGAGGTGGAACTGTTACTGCAAGTAACACGGGAGTACAAAGAGACTGTGGCGGCGGGAAAGTAAATATGAGACATGCACAGTACAAGTGTTATTTACACAGTATAAAATATTTTAATACAAACACCAAAACTAAAACTCTGTCACAGCATCGTGTTTCTGCTTTGCATGACTGATAAGAGCCAATCAGGAACCAAAGTGAGCGTCGCATTTAAAGTCTCTGTTTTGCCTGTTGGGAAATGCTACCCTGGGTTTTAAACGGGGTCGGCAGCGTTTTCAAACTTCATTTTAGGAGTTCAGATTCGCCTTATTGGTCTGGACAGGAGGCGTAGCAAAAGGTGTGAGTTTTAAAGCAAAAACAAAGTGTGGATGGAGCCTTAGTGAATTGAAATGGAAAAGTTTCACATTAGTTATCAAAAGGATAGAGAAGCCTAAATGTGTGTGATTGGTTTTTAAAGAGAGAGTTCAGAGACAGAGTAGTTTTTATCTACCCAGAGTCAGGAACTTACACATTCCTGAGGACAGACCTTCTTATGCATTTGGTCCAGTCTGAAGTAATATCAGATCTGTGATGGTGGATCAAAAATGAGTATTTACGAA